CTTAACACAAAATATAGCTCAGGAAACTGAGACTACAAAAAGGGGAAAACCCCCACCTGGTAATTTATCCACAAGGTGGTCTAGCAGACACACCAAAACCAAAAACTACCGCTTAACTGAGAATATCCCAAATACAAAATGTTCTAAAGTTACTTCTTCACAAGAAGCCAACCACAACCTGGTATTAACCACAAAATCTCTGGTAACCACCAACGGGGAGAGAACACACGTTGCCTCTGCAACCACAAACATTTCTCTCCCCTGATGAGCTCCAGCTGGCCGCTTTTAAAGAGCCAGCTGATGAGATGAAAAGTCCCAGCTGACCGTGACTGCCGCTCCGGTGCTGTCCATGGTCCTAAATGAACCTTCCCACGGAGCCGCTGTCCACGGTGCTGCTTTGCTGCACAGGAAACGGCGCGCAGCACACCACTGGGCTCCAAAACGGCGGCGGCCGTAACCCCCTCCCTCTCAGTCATGGTCTGTCTTTACTCCTAGATTTCCAGGACATTTGCCTCATTCAGAAACACATGAAACCAACCTCATGCCCTGCTGATTTAATTCCTACTACCTTGTTGATCAGGATGTTTGACCCAATTGGCCCATGCATTGTAGATTTTATTAATTTATCCCTACAATCTGGCTCAGTGCCATCTGTTTTCAAATATGCAGTTAGTGAACCTATCCTTAAAAAACCAAGTTTGGACTCATCTCAGCCTAAAAATTACAGACCCATTTCTAAATTACCCTTTATCTCTAAAATATTGGAAAAGGTTGTGGCAGATCAACTGATTACTTTTCTGGAACTACACAACAGTTTTGATAACTGTCTGAATTACTAGAGTGTCTGTCAGCTATCACCAGCTAGCTAGAAGATTACTTCCTTCAGATAAACTCTGTATACACCCACATCACCCCGCTTCTCCTCCAGCTTCACTGGCTGCCAGTCGACTTCAGGGTTCATTTGAAGATCCTGGTTCTGGTCTATAGGGCCTTACATGGACAAGCACCATCTTACATTGGTGATCTTAGTCCCTACACCCCCAGCAGGTCCCTGAGGTCCAGTGACCAAAGCCTACTGGTTGTGCAGCACCAGGCTAAAGACCAAAGGTGACAGATTATTTGCTGCTGTGGCCCCCAGACTCTGGAACTCTCTCCCCCTGAGCCTGAGATCAGTGGACTCAGTGGTCTCCTTCAAAAAGCAGCTGAAGACTCACTTGTTCAAGCTGGCTTTTGTATGACCTTCTTCACCACTCTCTCTTTATTCTGCTCTCCCCACCTATTCCAACTTCCTCAGGATCCACTGATTTCCCTCTTTCCTATTCACTCTCTCTCTTTCTTAACATTTTTTTCTTTTAAATCCCAATTGCCTATTTTTGCTCATTTTAAATATATTTTTAAACATTTTCTAAACGCTTTTTTAATATTTTAACCTTTTCTTTTTTGTTTTTGTGAAGTGCCTCGTGATTTTTATCTTGAGAGGCGCTATAGAAATGATATTTTCTTCTTCTTCTCTGAAAAGACTGAATGTCTGATCATTGCCCCTGAGAGCATGGTTCCCCTCATTAGTCTAAAACTTGGTCATTTATCCTCTGCCGTCAAGACAAACTTAAGGAATTTGGGTGTAATTTTTGACAAATCAATGTCTCTAGAAGGTCACTGAAAAACATTGGTCCAAAACTGTTTTTATCATTTAAGAAATATCTCCAAACTGCGAAGGTTGGTGTCAAAACGTGAACTTGAAGTGGTTATCCATGTCTTTATCTCCTCCCGTCTAGATTACTGTTACACACTTTTCACATGTTTGAACAAAAACGCCCTTCACCGCGTTCAGTTGGTCCAGAAATCTGCAGCGAGGCTCCTAACTGGAGCAAACAGAAGAGCTCACATCACTCCTATTCTACAGTCTCTGCACTGGTTACCCGTTAACTTTAGAGTTCATTTTAGAATCCTGATTATAGCTTTCAATGCTCTACATGGTCAAGCTCCTCCCTATATTACTTAACTGTTAAGGCCTTATGCTTCAACCCGAGCCCTCAGGTCCACCCACCAGAACCTTCTCAAAGTTCCAAAGACGAGATACAAAAGTTGAGGCGATCGCTCCTTCCAGACTGTTGAACCCCAACTCTGGAATGATCTTCCTTTATCGTTACGCAGCAATGAAAGTCTGGACACTTTAAAAAAAACAGCTAAAAACCCTTTTATTTAAAGCTGCTTTTACCTAAATCTTTATTTTCTTATTTTTAACTCAAATTTTTTATCTTTCATCTGTTTATGAACTGTAATAATGTTATGACTTTATTTTTTCTGATGTTAATCAGATTCTGCTTTGAGATCATTATGATTTTATGACTTTGTTTTATTTTGATCTATGTGAAGCACTTTGTGATTCTATTTCTGTGATAAGTGCTGTATAAAATTTTACTTACTTACAACAAAAATAAACGTTACTTAATACTTCTATCTTTCTAAAGTATTCCTACAAATGGAATTTATGTTTGCCGCTGGTTTGGTTTATAACACTTGGTTTGTTGTCCCTTAATGTGAATATAATATTTAAATTATTGCATTTTAACCTTCCATGGATTTTTTCTTGTTTAATTCACTGCATATCGTTTTTACCTTCATTTGTTGACAGTTTCAGCGTAAAGCTGCCATCTTTAGAGCCTCGCTGGTGGTGCTTCTGCTGTTAAACTGTCAGCAAATTTAGGCCAGCTTTGCTACGATGTGCATTAAACAAAAAAAGAAAACCAATGGGAATTGAAAAGAAACAGAAAGAACTCAACAAGGGGCATTTTGATCTATTTTTCTATTTTGTCTCCAATGATTGGCGTCATTTATGTAATCAAATGGTTACGATGACGAACAAAAATATAGGGGCAGGTTAAGCAATCAAACAAGATGGAGTCTGCCATCATGTTTTCTGCACAATGTCTTATTGGAAACAGTACTGAAAATAAATCTTTGGTGTCTCACACATCTTTAACGATTTTCTCCTCTTCAGATAAATGTAGGCCTATCTATGCGCCGACACAAACAACAAGAACAGGCTAAGGGAAAAATAAAAACCAGTGAAGAGTGAATTCAGGGGTAAAAACTGTTCTGCTGCTTCTTCTCTACTGGGTCTTGTTCTCACACAGAATCCTCAGAAAATCCAGCATCATGCCGTTCCACCTCTGCAGTGGAATCCCGGGAAGGAAAGTCAGATCTGAGCTGTTGTGTGACACCAGCTTTTACTGCCTCTCTGTTGGACCTTTAGAGGAGCCAAAAGCAGATCGGTGGAAGACGTAGAGAGAAAGACTCACTTCAGAGAAAATGATAGTGTTTCCTGTGTGAGGCAAAACTGGCAGGTGGAGAATAAAGTAAAGGAGTTAACAGAGAGGAAGAAGAGGATGAAAGATGAAGGAGAAAAGTGGCAGGTCCCGTCTCCCCTACCGTCCTATATGCTACTCAGGTCTCCAGCTGGGACGTTCGTGTGCACTCTCAGCAGGTCTCACTTATCTGTAAATGTAAAAAAATAAATAAAAATAAAGATGTGAAACGTGAAAATGAAAAACTGAAACCATCCTTTTGCATTTCTAAATAAGTAAACAATTAGAAGATGTGACTGGCTTCAAGAAGACGGGCGCGTTTGTGAGGAATCTGGTGTTTGCTGTGGGGATGAGCTCAGGCATTTCCCCTCATTTATTGTTAATGAGAAACCGAAGGCGCACAGATTGTTTTTGCCTCTGATGATGGCCTGATGAAATAAAGATAGAGAAGAAAGAGATGGGAGACGGCTTATTTTCTAGAAGTGAAAGACAAGAATGGTCAAGATGCTGGATGCAGACTTTTTTAGGACAAGAAAGAAAATAACATTTTAATTATAAAAAGATCGATGCTTTTCTGTTTAAATTAAACTTTTGTGCAGAGAGCAGCTGATTGACTTTACTGAATGTAAATTAATTTTCTTTGGTGAGACAAAACAAAAACTTTTAAGCTATTAATTAGACTGACTATACAGGGAAACTTTTTAATTATTTAAACACGGCGTCTCTTTTGCAACAGCCACTGTGCTCACACAGACACACTCCGAACGTGTCTGACAGGAGAAAAACAAATAAACCAGGGCTGTGACTCCGATTCCTTCACTGATGGTTTGATGGAAGGGTTCACGACTCCCAAGTGTTTCTTCCATCATCCAACAATATCTCAAGTAGCTCAGCTGTTGTCCTCTGCTGAGAACTAAAAACACACTATTTATTAGATAAGTGCCGTTTCATGACCTACTCAAACTTCCTCCACAGATTGGATCTATCTCCACGGATTCCCGTTTATATCTTTTAGGGGGAAATGTTTGATCAGATGCACACAAGCCCAGCATCTGTCCATAACATCAAGTAAAAACTTTTTAAGATATTTTAGGATATTAATGAATATTATATTATTTTGGGTGTAATAAAATATATTTGAGCCATGCTCTTATAGGGAGGAATCATTATGCAGCATAAAAAAAGAGACGTTATGCCACATTCACTATTATTTTTTGATTTTCTCACCTTCACACACTGGCTGAAATACTGAATATGAACATGTTCACTTTTATCCTTGGTGGTGTTTACAGCTGGTGTTTTCTCTTTTGCCAACAGGAAAAAAATGACACCCTCATAAGTGTGTTTGGAAACAGTAACAAGCAATATGAAGCCTAGGGCTGGGCAATGTGACCTAAAATCAATATCACAATATATTGAGGATTTCACCTTCATAACGATAAATGGAGCATAACCACGTGTGTGCACAAAAATAAAGTGTCACAACTATTAAGTTGACTCACGCTCTCATGTGACTTGGTGGCACAGCTTCTTAAAGAGACATGAACATCACCAGTCTACACAAATCTATTCATTGTTTTTATTAAAGAATTTATTTATCGGTTAGAGTCAGACATTTCTCTAACAAATTTTTTTTTGCCCAGCCGGCAGGAACACCAGTGCCACTCTTGTCCACAGTGGAGTTGACTGAGGCCCTGTCCACACGTAGCCGGGGATCTGCCAAAACGTAGATATTTTTCTACGTTTTGGCCTGTCATCCACACGAAAACGGATCTTTTTAAAAACTCCGGCCAAAGTGAAGATCTGCGTTTTCTCCGTTTTGGGTGTCTGCGTGTGGACAGACAAAACCGGAGTTTCAAGGTCCGCAACGTCACTTTCCGCAACAAAAAAATGCTGACAAGTGTGCGACCTGTGTTTACACTAGCCGACAGCATGGAAGCCCTCAGAGCTGCGCTCGCTCAAGCCCCCACAATGCCGCTCTAAAAATGGTCCCATCCCGGAAGTAAGAAAAATTGCAGTTCCACCCTCATCCGCTGGGGGCTGGTGCCAGAAGCGAGCAAATCCTCATTGACTCCCATGTTAAAAATGCCGATTTCACAGCAGAAATAAACATGTTTACAGCCTGGTGCCAAAACATGTTTTTTGTCTAAATTATCTAGTTTATACTCATGACAACTCTGAGGGGGGTGAATTTTTTTCTCACTCTTCTGTTTAAGTGTATTGAAAGCCTAAAATTCTGTATAATTAATGAGCATCCGACACACGTGACCGCCGCCTCAGACCCACGTGACCACAGAGCTAGCTCCGTGGAAAGGCCTCAGTACAGCCTCGGTCTGGCTTGGAAACTGCTCCGGCATTTTGAGTCTCTGTGTTTGTGTATTCTTCTTTGGATATTATTGGTGCAATTGTTGGACAAAATGACTTGCAGTGGTATTAATTGCACTAATAGAGCGTCCAAGGAGTCTCCACTTCATTTTTTTCGGTAAGTTAAAATCTATATTCGTATTTATGTCACTGCCACCTTTAAACTAGCTGAGTTTACCGAAGTAGCTAGCTAACTATCAGTTTAACATGTAGCATGTACTGTTTAACCATGAAATTTAAATGTAAAATACGGTAAAATAATTAATAGGGCATATTTAGATGGGTAATAGGGTAAAACCCAGTGCATTTAAGATAAAAATGGGTTGAAATATGACGGAGCGCTAAGAGGGAGACTCCTGTGTCCAATCTTCCATCCGGTAATCCCCAGCGGTCAGGCCGGGCAGCCTGACCGATCCGGCGCCTACTTGCTGCGCGGTCTGACCACTCGTGGAGTTTTTCATGTCTGACTTTAACCGCATCTAATACTGTATTACGGCGTGAGCGCAACAGCGACAACTTAATATCGATGTGTAAGCAGCCTGAGTGGTAGGGTGTTTTCATCTGAACCCTTAAAACCTCCAGCAGGCTATGCTGCACTATTGACGTGTTAGCGCGCGGCGCTAACAACTTAGCAACGTGACATGTCTCTGAGAAAGCGTAAAACATGGACGCTTCTTCTGAAGCGGAAAATAACACTTCTTCTTAAGCAGAGCAGGATGTCGCCTCGGCTCGTTCACGGCCGAGCCGGACTGAGCTCGATAACATTGACCAAGCACAGCCACTGGGTCGTTGTAGCTGCCACCAGGCCTGCTGAAGGAACTCCAGCGGGTTTCATCAGACTCGTAAAGTTTCTTGTTTTTGCTGGGGATTTCTGTATTTTACCACTCCCTCCTGCAGTCTTCCCCTATTAAAATTTAAAATGTGTAACTTTATGTATTGTGATGAATGACTAATATTCATGTAAAACTAAAACGTTAGGCATTTAGGGGGAAAAAACAAAATAATAAACATTATACAGATGTCAAATAAATCAAACTGTAATTAAACTATATATTTTCAAAGTCATATAGACAGCATGATGGTTTGTGTGATCCGCGCGGTTTCACTTACACCCCTTTAATGATCAGGCTGTTTTTTATTATTTTTATCAGCTGATAGCAGTTAAAATTATGGTAAAAAATACTTTTATCTGTTTTTGATAACTTAATGCCCAGGAAGAGCATCTTCTCTAGACATTAAATATAACCCAAATGTTTTCTTATGAGCAGATCTGATGAAGGTGTAGACAAGCAGTCTACAAAGTAAAACTTGTTTAGAGTCCAAACTCTTACTAAAGCTTTTGAAAAGAAAAAATGGTTGAATTTTGAGAAATATCCACAACAGGGGAGCGAGACCTCTGAAAAATGTAAATTTTCTCTGAATTCATAGAATAATGTGAAGATTCTGGGAAAAGTTGGGATTCTGAGATTAAAACGTAAATCTTTCTAATCATAATTCTGGCAGTTTTTGTGTCCTTCTGCTGTGGAAAGTCGTGCAACATGAAGATACTGAGAAGATGCTTACAACCTGTATTTTTATTCCATCCATAAATAAAATCATGAGCTATTTTTTTAATCCAAATTTGATCCAAAGGGCCATCGTTGGTTCCAGACCCGTTCTAGAACATTCCTCTAATCTTAAAGTCATCATCAGTTTCTTCCTTTTAACAAATATTTATTTGTTCAAATATTTAATATTTATAACTGGAATATTTGTTCCTCCCTCTCCCACTGCAGTTAGTCCTGTCCTGCAACCCTGTTCTTGCAGCTTAGTGAAGCCAACCATCACTAACCTGGGGGTGGTTTTGGACCCAGAGATGCGGATGGACTCCCACATTAGCCAGGTGGTTAGATCCTGCTTTTCCCGGCTTTGCCAGCTACCAAAGATGAAGTCCATCCTGAAAGACGTGTCATATTTTCTCCCCAAGCCGGACCTGACCGTCATGTATCGGTCCAAAATAGTGTGATGATATTGTGTTTTTTGTACATAACAGACTTTTTAACAGACAAATTTGTCGCATTCTCCTACACCTCTTCACGGGCTCGCCACAGTAAATATTCTATTTGGCAAGAGATAAACTTTATTGTATTTATCCTAGTGAATCTACAGGTGCTGGCCAGTAAATTAGAATATCATCAAAAGGTTGAAAATATTTCAGTAATTCCATTCAAAATGTGAAACTTGTACATTATATTCATGCAATGCACACAGACCAATGTATTTCCAATGTTCATTACATTTAAATTTGATATTCATAAGTGACAACTAATGAAAACTCCAAATTTGGTATCTCAAAAAATTAGAATATTCTGAAAAGGCTGAATATAGAAGACACCTGCTGCCACTCTAATCAGCTGATTTACTCAAAACACCTGCAAAGGCCTTTAAAAGGTCCCTCAGTCTTGTTTTGAAGGCACCACAATCATGGGGAAGACTTCTGACTTAACAGCTGTCCAAAAGACAAGCATTGACACCTTGCACAAGGAGGGCAAGACACAAAAGGTGATTGCTAAAGAAGCTGGCTGTTCGCAGAGCTCTGTGTCCAAGCACATTAACAGACAGGCGAAGGGACGGAAAAAATGTGGTAGAAAAAAGTGTACAAGCTCTAGGGATAACCGCACCCTGCAGAGAATTGTGACGACAAACCCATTCAAAAATGTGGGGGAGATCCACAAAGAGTGGACTGCAGCTGGAGTCAGCGCTTCAAGAACCACCACGAGGAGACTCATGAAAGACATGGGATTCAGGTGTCGCATTCCGTGTGTCAAGCCACTCTTGAACATGAAACAGCGCAAGAAGCGTCTCGCCTGGGCCAAGGACAAAAAGGACTGGACTGATGCTGAGTGGTCCAAAGTTATGTTTTCTGATGAAAGCAAGTTCTGCATTTCCTTTGGAAATCAAGGACCCAGAGTCTGGAGGAAGAGCGGAGAAGCACAGAATCCACGTTGCATGAGGTCCAGTGTAAAGTTTCCACCGTCAGTGATGGTGTGGGGTGCCATGTCATCTGCCGGTGTTGGCCCACTCTGTTTCCTGAGGTCCAGGGTCAATGCAGCCGTCTACCAGGAAGTTTTAGAGCACTTCATGCTTCCTGCTGCTGACCAACTTTATGGGGATGCAGACTTCACCTTTCAACAGGACTTGGCACCTGCACACAGTGCCAAAACCACCAGCACCTGGTTCAAGGACCATGGTATCCCTGTCCTTGATTGGCCAGCAAACTCGCCTGACCTTAACCCCATAGAAAATCTATGGGGTATTGTGAAGCGGAGGATGCAATACGCTAGACCCAACAATGCAGAGGAGCTGAAGACGACTATCAGAGCAACCTGGGCTCTCATAACACCTGAGCAGTGCCACAGACTGATCGAGTCCATGCCACGCCGCATTACTGCAGTTATTGAGGCAAAAGGAGCCCCGACTAAGTATTGAGTGCTATACATGCACATTCTTTTCATGTTCATTCTTTTCAGTTGGCCAACATTAGAGAAACAAACATTTTTTCATTGGCCTTTAGAATATTCTAATTTTATGAGATACCAGATTTGATGTTTTCATTGGTTGTCACCTATAAATATCAAAATTAAACGTAATAAACATCGGAAATACATTGGTCTGTGTGCATTGCATGAATATAATGTACAAGTTTCACGTTTTGAATGGAATTACTGAAATATTTTCAACCTTTTGATGATATTCTAATTTACTGGCCAGCACCTGTATAATTAAACGGGTAAACTAGTAGCACCACATCCAACATCAAAGAAACTAAAATGTTATTATCAGGAGAGGGAGAATGTTTAAGTGGTTAGCAGCAGTGTGCTAGTCGATGGCCCCCTCCATGAGGCCACCACAGCTCAGCAGAACGTTGTTGTAGCTTCTTCTGGGGAGAAAAACACTTAGAGAAAAAATAAAGTTAACAGCTGAAATAGCAGGAAAGAATACAGTTAAAGAGCAGATTGTAGAAGAAAGAAACCCCTGGGTTAAACTGGTCTGTCTACTGCATAATGCTGAACTCTAACATGTGTCCTCAGGGAAGGACCTGATTGGTGTCCAGAACCTGCTGAAGAAGCACGAGGCTCTGCAGGCTGAGATCACAGGTCATGAACCTCGCATCAAGGCTGTCACCCAGAAAGGAGAGACCATGGTGGAAGAAGGTAGAGCAGGTCTGGTCCTGACATGTTTCTGAGGTGTCTGCAGGTTCTGGCTCACTTTTTTTGGGTCCAGGTCACTTCGCTGGTGAGGAGGTGAAGACTAAGCTGTCAGAGCTTCATGGACGTTGGGACACGCTGAAGGCCAAGGCGTCCCAGAGGAGGCAGGACCTGGAGGACTCTCTGCAGGCCCAGCAGTACTTTGCGGATGCTAATGAGGCCGAGTCCTGGATGAGGGAGAAGGAGCCCATCGTTGGAAGTCCAGACTAAGGGAAAGACGAGGACTTGGCCGAGGTATGGAAGTCCCTTCCTGAGAAACTCCAATCGCTTTTCTTTGCTCTCTTTCCAGTCCTTCATAATTAGTGTTTCTGTATTTGTCATTTCCTTCGGTTGTCAACCAGACGTCGTTGCTCGTTTGAGCGTCTCATGGGTTAGGGGTAGAAGTGCTGGCCTCGCACAGGAAGTGATGACAAACGTGTTCCCGTCGCTCTTATTTCAAACGGTTTACAAGCTGTGATGTGTGTTCCCGCTGCAGAGCAGCCATGACACGTGGCAGCCGGCAGAAGGCTCACGCTTTTCCACTAAACACCCGCAGAGCTACGTCTGCGGTGAACTGAGCAGGGTTTGTTTTACGGTGGCGGATCCGATTGGACCATCGCTGCGAGAAAGCTCCACTTGTGTCAGACGAGCTGAAGGTTCTGATGTTCTGCTCCACAGGCTCTCCTGAAGAAGCACGAGGCCCTGATGTCGGACCTGTCGGCTTACGGCAGCAGCATCCAGGCCCTGAAGGAGCAGGCCCAGTCCTGCAGGGTGAGTTCAGAACCCTCGGCCCGTCAGAACATTCTTATCCACCACGTTCTAACACCAGACCTGTTAACCCGAACGCAACAAGGTAATCAGCAGGTGCTTTTGTCCTGCAGGACCTGAAGGCCAACGAGTCCCGCCTGAGGGACATCAACAAGGTGGCATCTGAACTGGAGTCAGAAGGTCTGATGGCTGAGGAGGCTCCTATGGTTCAGGCTCAGGTGAGCGTCACCTGTCTGCAGCAGCTGGTCCCTCTCACTTCCTGGTTTAACTCTGCTCGTCTCTGTTTGTAGCAACAAAAACATCTGGGTTCTGCTCCTGGAAAGGTGCGTGTTGTCCTCCGCCTCCACCAGAACCAGACGTGGTGTTTTTGTTACCACTCATTTGTTTGTTTGTTTGTTTGTTTACAGGATGAAGCCGACTCTAACACGGCGTCACCCTGGAAGGTGAGTTCATTCAGCTGATCAGAGGTCACCTCTGATGGCAGCAGTCACGGCCGACCGTGCTGACATCACACAGGAATTCAGGTGACCCGGCAGGCACCAGGTGCTGGTGAAAGTGGGGACATGTCAGCTGGTTGCCATGGCTAGTTATCTTTATGCATCTGTATGACTGCTGACTGGTGTGTGTTTCCTGTGACCTTTGACCTCAGACCGTACGGTTGGGCGTTCAGACGACGGCTAACTTTAATTCCATCAAGGTAAGAGGAAGCTCTTCCCTTCCTGTCTGAGCGATCCGTCTCCAGGTTTCTTCGTCCGGCGTCCAGCCCGCTGGCGTCCACCTTCATCTCACCTTCATCTCATCTCACTTCATTTATAGTGCAATACTTTCACATTATCATTTTCCCACACTTCTGTATACCTGTATTTTTTTGTTTTTCAATAAAGAATGACAAATTATTTAAGTTTGGTTTTTGTTGCACACAAATATATATCTGTAAAAAATATCTACAAAGCTAATGTTTACATAACAAGTATGATTGGGTTTTGCAATACGGCACTCAAGTTTATTTTAGTAAGATTTTCAAACCAAGTAAAGTTAGTAAAGAACACATTTCTATTGTCTGCTAAGAAACTGTTGGGATTTAAAATGGGCCTGTTGTACAAATAACTTGTAAATGATTATTCCTCACTTTTGTCTTAACCAAAGAAATTCCAGTAATTGAGCAAAAACATTTATTTTTAACACTACAGTTTATAAAACAGGGCGCAAAGTGTCGGCACATGTATGTATGTCGATGGTCCGCCCCAACCACACCAAGAGACACAGACGTCAGGGAGGCCAAGGTTGTCTCTGCAGCTCTCTGGGCACCACGCCTCACTCAGCTGTCTCCAATGATCCAAATGGCTATGGAGGAAAAAATAACAGGTTTGGCCTAGCTGTTTAAAGTACAAAACCATTCATGAAGTGGTCAAGACAAGTACTTGGTACTTACACTTGCTGCTTTGTGTAGCTGACGTTGACACAGGCTGCCATGGTGACCTTTTAATAGATCTAAGAAAAAAATGTAATAAAAGAATGAAACTTAAAAACTCCCAGACCTCATGTCATATTTACTAATCAGCTATGGCTGATTTGTTTGGATCACAGTGAGTTACACTAATTCTAATATATTTTTATTTCTATTATACATACATACTTTTTAACTGTTATTTTCACATGACTGTTATCAGGCTCTCTTGTTCTGGTTCTGATGATAACTCTGTCTTCCAGTAAGTTATCTTGTGCTTACTTCATCTGTATAATGTCTCTTTACTTTTGGTAAATTGTACTGAGTCCAGAATAAAGACTAGTTGGCTGTACAAGATACAAACAAGTATTACGTTTTGGAAATATATGAAACACCGCCAGCATCTGTTAGAGCCTGTGGCGGGGTGCTGAGGGCCGGCTCCAGCCCAGGAATGAGCTCTACACGCCGGCCGGGAGGGTTTCAAACACCGCCATCCTCTCCTCTGCTGGCTGTTCATTCTGTTATGGTTACCGGTGCTTGTGTTGCAATGTGAAACGCTTGGTCTCAGATTTTGTAAGAAAGATAATAAAATATCCCCCCAAAATACGACTTAAATATATTTTCTCTTCTTCATGATACATTTAATGGCTGGTGCGACTCAGGAGTGATAGCGCCGAAAAAAACTGTACTGAAAACTTGCTCAAAGCAAAATGTATTCATTACGGAAATAAATTATAAACTTACCGATTTAAAACTTTTTTAATACAGGTACTTCTCACGAACAGGCGCAGAAAACCTCCACCTAAACTCCGTGTGAGGTTCAGGTCGATGGGTGTTCCAGTTAGCTCCGGTTGGGTTGAAGCTAGGTGGCTACATCCGTTAGCTCGGCTCCCACCTCCGCTTTAGCTTTGGGTTAGCCAGGGTTAGCTTCAGGTTAGCTCGTAGCTAGTTCGCCTGGGTGTCGTCACTCGAGCCCAGCCTTACAGCCACACCCTCAGCGCCTCCTCTCTTCCCTTTTATGGAATTGTCTGGGCTGGACGGAACCTGTGACATGGTCAAAATGGCGGTGGTGGCCACCTCCCATTATAGACAACAAACGTGTTATTGAAGCCAATGGAATCCGTTTGTCCAGTATTTACAGTCTATGCGCTCGCTTTGTCCAAGCGCTTTTTGCTTCCTTGCGGAAGACCACAGACGAAGGATGAGGTTAAGAACGGGGGAAGTACTGCCGCCTACAGGTCTGGCATGTCCTTAACAACGTATTTATCCGGGTACGTGTGGACAGAGTTTTTTTTAAACGAGGTGGTGTGGATGCAAGTTTTTGGAGGGGCGGATATTCGTTAAAAAAAAAAAAAGCCGGCTACGTGTGGACTAGGCCTGAGAATGTGCATGTGAAAACTAACAAACCCAGCTACCGAGGAGACATCTATCGCTGCCCACGTGGATAAGCAACATGCCTTTAGGAGAAACGCGTTATTATCCAGTCACACCAAAACTGAACTATTGGTCAAATTGACTGTGAAAGTACTGTGTTTGGAGGAGTCAAGGTGAGGCTGTTACGTCTAAGATCACTTACCACCGTCGTGCTTGACTGTTGGTATTATCATGCTGTGGTGGCACAAAGTCAAAATATAACAACTAATTCTTCAGTTTCATCTGAAAATGGTAAATTGACTGTATTTGTAAAGCATCTTCTAGAGTCCTACAACACCCAAAGGTGCTTTACAACACAACAATCATTCACCGACGCACACACGTCCACACATGGTGATGATGAGCTACATTGTAGCCACAGCAGCCCTGGAACACACTGGCCCCACCGATCACCAGGAGCAGGCAAGGAGGGTGAAGTGTCTTGCCCTCTGCCACCATAACCCCCTGTCCAACCAAAGAATCATTTACAGTGAAGCATGGTGGTGGTAATATGCTACTGGTGCAAGGCATAAAGATGATAGAACAACAAACCCTTCAGTTTCACCAGAAATCCTCTGCTAGATGATTCTGAGGAAGACAGCCTTCCCATAACCTTGACTGCTGACCAACTGGACATTTGTGGACTAAGCTTTCAGTGTACCATAAAAACAAATCAGTTCATGTAATCCATCCAGTCATCAATATGAGTGAAAAGCATTGATGGCTACATGAAACAGTTGGTATAGATGCAACTTGCCAAGAAACATGAACATAAATATTGGTGGGGGTATACGAATATATTTCCAGACTATTTGGACTGCATGGAGGAGAGAAAACAATTAATTTAAACGTAAATCTCATCACTGAAGTAGATAAATTATTAGAAATCCCAAGTTAATCCCATTAATGCCCTTTATTACTTTTCAACACTGACTGCTCTCAGCATTTTCATTTCATACGTTTATCTGAAAGAGAACTTTTCTTTAGGAAGCTGAGCTTGGAAACATTTTCATCACACTTGAAAAAACATTCCATCGCTAAAACAAAGCTGACGATTTTCCAACCATTCCATGCTTTGCTCAGTAGTGACAGAACCAAACTGAACAGGATCCGAAACCGTTTTTATCCACAGGAATGAGCTTGGCATTCAAGCAGCAGCTCCCCGTCCAGGTGTCATTCTCTCTCACTTTAATGGTCATGGAGTTTAATTAGCCGCAACATCACAACAGCCAGGGCTGAAAACACAAACACGGGGGTGAAAACAGACAGTTTGCTCAAATGGACGGATCCCCTCCAACCATCTGGATGGAGTTTTAAAACTTTAGCCAATGAAGGTTAGCATTTTTGCCAAGTGAAAATTAGCTGTTTTATTGATTTCAAATACAAAAAGATGGTTGATTTTCTTAGATTAACGGGACTGTGTGTCACAACGCATCACTGAAGATAAATGATGAATACTGCACAGCATACGTGATATCTTCTACGATATGACCACCAGTTGAGCTCCAGGTTGTACAGAAAATAGTCTTAAAAATGAGTGTGTGTGTGCAGCACAGGGAAGAAAAACAGACCAGGAAAAACAAGGACAGTATGTTTCATGTAGTGTGCAGAAAAAATGTTTTCTAGTGAAACATATGGCTTCACCAGCTGGAGTCCCTATATCGCTGCTATGATAAGTGGCCTCCTCCTTGGCTTATGTCCCTTTTTCTCTCCTACTCCTTCATTCCTTCCCTCTTTACTCCTTTTTTATTTCCCACCAATTCAATTCATTGCAGCCTAAAGATTTAACTGCTTTTTGGCGTTTATGATCAGCACATACAGGCTCAAAAAGTGTCAATTTAATTGGTTGCCTCTTAAAAGTAAGCATAATTTTTGTTTAAGAGTTTCAAGAACTTTATTAAAAACTAAAGCACAGTCAATATTAAAACTGAAACTATTCTCAAGGATTTTTCCACCCAAAAGACCCCTGGAGGAAAAACCCAAAGGTCTGTTACAAGAGTACAGTGGGTTCACATCATCGGGTTCGACTCTATCCAGAATAGTTGAATAAGAGTCTCTTACAGAGGAAATAACACAAAGCATCATGAAACAGCATCACCCTTTAACTGATGTGGTGTAACACACTGAAGACGCCTAGAGCACCACGGCTGAGTGACGGACTGATAAGTGATTCCTTTCTTCTCTACTACAGTAAACAAGGTTTTCCATGACTTCACACTTTTTAAATGGCTTTGGTGACTTGCATATGTATTTATTTATTTATTTACCATTTTGCGATAATAGAAACAAAGCCAAGCAATCTGAGAGTAGCAGGGCATTAAACAACCAAACAAATATTCTGGATCTGAGCATTTGACTCATTTAGCCTGCTCGGACTAAAAACCATGAGCATCGAATTTGTCAGGCTTAGAAAATATCAAATATTGACTGTTTTCCTGCCCCTAATCTTCAAACTGCAGCATACATTTCAAATTTGGTAAAAAAAAAAATTAAAATAAACAATTTTTAAAAATAAAAGAATTGGGTTGATTTTTGTCAACGGATTTTCTAAAATATGTGGCAAGAAACACAAACTGCTAAATTATACCAGGACCCACATAAAACGTAGAATATGAATTAAAAAAACTCTAGTGTACTTCTAAGAGTTCTTTAATACAGGAAAAATAAGAAATCAGAAAAAAAATAGATTTCTAAACCTGGGCAAACATTTAAAAAGGTTTGAAGGGAAAACACTTGTTTCTGTGTCCTTTCAGACCAGCTTCATGTCACTTAATGAAAGAGTCACTGATGAAATAACAAGCAGGGTTCTCAGAATTTACCATTAAACTATCCAACAAGATGTCATCAATCAATGAAATACCACTCAAACCATTTATATGTCAGAGCTGCTGAAAAACTCTTGGATTATTTGTAAAAAAAACAAAACAAAAAAAAGACATCCTGTTAAACATCAGATGGTGGTTTGTCGGCTGAAGAGGTCAAGGGTCACGGCAGACAGGAAGGCCGGGATGCTCTTCTGGTGATGCAGATGCAGAGCCACCATCTCTCCTAGAGTTTTGGAGAACTCCGTTTCCATGAGCTGCATGTTTCCGTTGGATCCCTGCGTCGAACATCAGAACAAAACAGCCAACAGTTAGACGTCGGTTACCATCAACGTCCACAACTTTTAAAAAGAAGCCAGATTTCTTCAGGTTGTTGTGTCTGAAGGGAATGCAGTGTGCATCGGCATGTGTACACAGTCGTCGCAGCAGGAGGAGGGTGTCTGAATCTGTGAGGATTAATTAAAAGGAACGAGGAGCAGCTCGGGGAGACGGAGTGAAGGAGAAAGGGATGAGGGAAATGGGATAAAGTAATTAAAGCGATGCGAGGAGGGATGAAGGTAGTGAGGAGCACAGTCCCATGACATACAGGGAAGCTATTGAGACATCTGTCCTGCTTCAGCGTGCATCAGAGACGCAGATCTTTAATCAGATAAGACTGCAGGTCATAAGAAATTCAGAGGACGGCGGTCCCAGGACCAGAAAGACAGAAACTGAGCTGAGACTGACGACGGAGTGTAGAACATCAGCGGGAGACTTGGGAGGGAAATAACATCAAAAAGTCATCGAATACTCAACATTTAGGAGTTTAACTAAAAGTGAGACGTTAGCGTCACAAATCTCTTATGGGTGAGAGGGCAGGACTCCTGAACTAATGGCATTTACAAGCTGACTGCACAAAGTTTAACTGGGGATGGAAATGAGGCGGGGAAGTGCTGAAGAGTGGCGGCCTGAACAACTTTTGGTTTCGTATCCCCGTAGAAAAATAAATAACTGGCTTACCGCCGATGGGAGCAAGAGTCAAACTGACCTTTGGAGGATTTTAGTTTAATATTAGCTAAACTAATTCAACTCAAGAGATTTAATAAACAATTAGATGGTGTGTTTTACCAAATGCTCTGTTCTGTTGCATGTTTGCACTATTTTTATGGGCTGTCGTCTGTGGTAATTTGAATAATAATGATTTTCTGTCTCTGTAAATGAGGAACTGCGGTGTAGGTTACCACACACACATGTCATCGGCGAGGAGAGCATGGGCAGCAGAGGACGACGTCGTCCTCTGCTGCCCGCTGACAAACAGAGAAGGAAGTGACGCCACCAACAGCGCCGACGCTCTGAGGAAGACTACAGCGTTAGTCTAAACGTCAGCAAAAACAACTTTTTACTGTGATGAAAAAAGAACCAAGTAATGAATTTGTGACTAAGTTTCTAGTCATTTGGGTTTTTTACGGCTTACAGCCAGGAGCTGATACAGTAAATTAAGAAAAGAGGATGACATGCAACAAAAGTCTTGAGCTGGATTTGTTACAGTTACGTGGTAAGCACCTTAAATTTGGAATATTTTTCCAAATTAAATGCGTCTTCCTGTCTTGTGATCAATTAAGTCAAAATTAATGACCATGTTCAAAAAACAGAAACTTTTGCATTTGACTTAATGCTTCTTCTGCACAGACTGATGAAGTGTTCCCACCATAGAAACCAAAGCTCATTTCCTGAGTGGGATTACGGTTAGCACAGACATGAACATAACCTTTACTGGGAACCGTCACACACACAAACTGACTTCCACCACAGCTGCAAAAACACTTTAGTTCAGAAATGAAGCGAGGAGAGGCAGAAGGATTTCAGCACCAGTGGGCAAAAATTAAATATTAATCTCTCAACATATTTCCCATGCTCGAAATCTTGCTGCTCATAATAATAATTTATTACCACAATTATTTTCTTATGACTCCACACACAAAGTCTTTGTTATGAAGATTATATAACATTTCCAGCCACAAACAACTTCAGATACTTATAAAGCAGCCAAAACACAGGCGTCCGACTGCAGATATACAATCAGACACAAGCTAATATTAGTGGCTTCAAAGAAGAACAACTTTTATAGGAGAGATTTGTTTAATTCTCCTTCTAGCTCCCCTTCCTGCTTGGGTTCACACGCTATAAAAGAAGCACTGTAAAGCTAACTGTTTAAATCTTTTCTTGCCTGCAGAAAAAAAAGTCAAGTTTTTGCCTCTCTGTGTGAAAAATATCTCAAAAACCACTTGGTGCTCATAACTTTAGAAAGTCTTTAAGGTTGTATTTTCATTTCAAACAGATAAACTCTGTTAACGATGGCTGCTGCAGCTAATCAACATTAGCCCACACAGAAATAGCTAATCCTCAGCGTCATAGACAGTGAGAATCACTCAACACATTATTTAACAGCTAAATAATCATATAAGATGTTAAATTATTTTCAACATCAGGCCAAAACAACTCAACTGTTTTTTTTCCCAGCATAAGATGTTTTTAAAACTCTGGGTTGAAACGCAGTGGATAATATGGACCACTTTAAAAGCCAGGTTTACTGATTAATTATAATTGTTGAAAATGAACAGTGACTCTAATGCAGGCTGAACATGAAAATCCTCTTCTACCCTATTTTCTGCATTAGCTTTTGACAGAAAATAGACAACAAACGCTCTGTTCAGAAAAGCCTCACAGATCTACGTTACAATGTATATTAGTATTTAGTCATTATTCATTCAAGCTTGCGCACCATGAGAGAAAACATCACGGCTCTAAAGATGATCTTCACCGGTGTGCCACACCTCACGTGATCGGGAAGCAGACAATCCATGAATTGGGAGATTGTTTTGGGATGCCGCTATGACTAAAGCAAGGTGCAAACTGGAAAAGCTTCTGCATCTCACGCTTCCAGAGCGGATTGTGAAAGAACGGAAAAAGATAGAAACATGCTGATTCTTCCTGATGTTAGAAAGTGAGTTTACTCTTTCTATTGGTAGGTTTGGTGTTAACATGGTCGTAGAGCAGGGTATCTGCAGGTTTAAGGGAGGCAAATGTAAGACTTTTATAGACTTTTAAGGCCACTTTGACCAAATTTGAGCTATTTTTTTAATTTAATTTAAGCTATAATTTCCAGCTATTGCCTGGAACTGGTGATAACGTTGTGAACGTGGGATTAGCCATCCAGTTAAAATTAAACTTGCACTTCCCCATGGGGCAAGCTCCCACTAGCTTAACCATCTAAAAATAGCGCCCTTTCACAACCAACTGAACGTGTACGGTTCCGCTTATGCTAATATCATACACAAAAAAATGCTGAACACGAACTAGAAATTCACGAAAATTTTATAGAAATAAAAGAATCTTGTTTATTGGATCTTTGGTAATTTAAGACCTTTGAAACTACTTAAGGATTATTTGCCCTTTTTAAGGACTTTTAAGGCCTTAAATTTGGAAAAGCAAATTAAAGACTTTTTAAGGATCCACAGATACCCTGTAGAGCACAATACTCTGACTCTTCAAAAAATGGTACAAATGCTCAGAAACACTGGCAGTCAAGGGCTTTCTGATCAGAAAACGGCTGGCAGGGAATGAGTTCATGGATTACCCACTTTGACTCACGACGGGGAAGGCTGCTGTTGATTTTGTGTCCAGGAAACAGCAGAGAATGTCTCGACTAGTAGAAGCTAACTGTTAGCATTAGCAACCTCATGGCATGGCAGAACTTCTTCAGGTTTGTGTCATTTGTGGAGATAAAACAGCAATGTTGCAAAGCAAACTGAGTAAGAGGTCAAGTTGTGTTGCTGTTAGCCAATCAGAGGCTAGCTGTTCAGTTATCACAAAATAAGACAACAAATCCTACCGTCTGTTGCCACTACGTCCTCAAACAGGAGCATCTGAGCCCACGCCCCCTAGATTACAGCTCACAAGGCATTCATTCCTAGTGACCACAGCAAAAGTAATAAGAGTGAACTTGATCTTTAAGGATGGCTGGGCTTTTAACTTTCCTAATGTATTCAGACGTGTGCAGTTTTGAATTTGACCAAAACTACAGACACTAAGGTCATATTTTGCTATAAAGTGGTGTGTGGTAATGCAAATTATTACTATAGAAACCTAAGGCAGTTAGCTCAGGACCAGTTGGCATTGTAAAAACTTGGGTTTGATTTGTGTTTTTGCAAGTCAGGACCTAGAGGAAAGCAGTGAGTTTTTTGGATCAAGCCGTCTCATTTAAAACTACTACCTTCGGGAGGCAAAGTATCTATATCTGTCTATTTATAATCTTTATCACACTAGCCAAGAGAACACAGCAATGCAAAGATTCAAACAATTTTCCACACGTCATTTGTCTCTTGACAACTTCCCATCGCTTCGTCTTCCTGCTCCCTCGGTGGTTGTACTTCCCTGATAATCCCTGGTGTGTTTCCTTCCCTCCTGTGTAGCAGCCTGAAAGCTGCACCATCTCCTCAGGCTTGCTACTCTCATCACAGGTGCACAAACAAACAAGTGTGCACAAGACTCCAGATACTGCTGGGGCCTCAGGAACATGGAACACATACAAAGGAAAATAATGTGACCAGTTACCATGGAGATCCCGGTGTCTGAAACACCTTACCACTGAAGTCTGTCCTTGGAACAGATTGTGGATGAGTGGGTGTGTAGAAGACACAGTGGACTATTTAATACAAGCCCACTGAAGCCAAGCTAACTGTGAGGACCCCCACAGACAGTTGGAACATTAAGCTAGGATAATGGCACCCCCTTGTTTGGTGAAATACAAGAGCGCCCACACAGTTTTGATTTCAAATGGGCAAACGTGCATGCCAACACACACAGATGGTCCGGCAAAGGTGACTCAGACTTACATATGGTAATGGAGACAAAACAGAGGTAGTCTTGTACTCCTCTGTGAGACAAGGTCCCTTTCAGATGTAAGATATGTGACACTAAAGACCACATTAACTGGGTGAACTGGCATTCAGTCATTCAAAAGCAGCCCTTTCAACATGTAGACAAGTCAGGTTGAAGCTTATTATTTACAACAATTAAAATGATTTGTATGAAGTTAGACTATTATCCTAAGTAAGACCTGACTTCACTAATCAGTGACCTGTTTTTTTATTCTTCTTTTATTTATAAGAGAGTTTCAAAAATGAAAAATGATTAACACAAGTTTTCAATAAGGCTGGGCAATAAGTTAAAATCCCCAACCTATATTTGTCAGTCCAACACGTGGCAGTGAGTAGAATGGTCACACAGGTGATGCTTA